TGCTAGTTTTCAACAAGGCAGTTTTTCGAAAATTCGAGTTTTTGACAAATACCGATCTATATGGAAATTAGCTTTCGAAAAGAGAAGAACCACAAACTTTTAGTGGTTTCAGATTTCGATTATCTTAATAGTTCGTCCTGTATAGAATTGAACGTTCTATAAGATGACTGAACTAAAACTATTCGAAAAAACAAATTAAGCAAGTTAAGTATCGGAGAAAATTCTTATTTTCCAGTGTTCTAACGTCATTTTGAACTCTTTAGAAAAATGATCCCATGGTGTTATCGTTAGTGATGGGTCGCACTAACGCTAAACGATGATTAAGATGCACCCTCTAGTCTAATTGTCTAAGGAGATCTGTCCGGACAGCAGAAGGTATAGATTCGAGTCCCATGAAGGCCATCGTTTTCATTGTTCTGCCACATAAAATCAGTGACACTGCTTGTTCCTTTCGTTCTACACATAAGAGTTAACATATAGTTGATTAAACTTTCACCGAAAGCAAGCGTGAAATAAATATTCGAAAAGAGCAATAAGTTTTGATTCTATTCAACTGTTTTGCACTCTTTAGAATCATTACTATATGATCGAGAAAGGGACGAACATCTTGTGCCAAGACTTTCTTGATGTAGATTATTTTAATATTAAATCATATTTAGTGTAATGAAGAATTAAACGTTGAAGCTTTTCTTTTTCATTATCTGCAACTGTGTATGATACAGAAAAATATTTTCTAATTGATGAAAAGTACACTCTTTTAGTGCTAATATCACTGATTCTTTTGATAAAAGCAAATATATATGTAAATATATCCTTAACCCTTTCGCGGCCAAACGAATATTCCTTTTTTCATAATTCATGAAAGGTTTCATTTCTTTATTTGCGACAACTGTAATACTTCAAAACAGTTTTTATCAATGTTACTCTTATGAATAGTCCTTTATCAGTAGTAAAAGAATCAGACCCTTTAGCCAAAATATGAAAGAAATATTTCATTTTTTCTGTGCTACAGGAACTTGATAGTCAATCTATAGTGAGACCCACCGATGAGTCTCATTACCTCGAATGGGTTAAAAATGTATAAGTTTCTTCTGAATAAGTATTTAAAAAAAAGATACTTTTTAGACTATTTAACTACCAATTCAGGATTCGAGGCAAGTGCATGATCTTCTACTTTTAGTGGATCTGTGTATCTCCTTAATAAAAAATACTGTTAATTTCTTATATTAAATTGATCTTCATCTTTTTTCTGCAAAATTAAATCATTGTGAATCATTCGATCGTATAAAGCCTCATTCTTAGTTCAGCAGAAAACACTCAACAATCTTTATCACGGTGCACAACGCGTTCTGTTCTTTGTAAGAACGATATTCTATTGACAGAGTACGTCTCAATAACTTGAAGAAGTCATTCGTAGGTGTTTCTCTACGGAAAGTCAAAGAATAGTATCTTATTTGGAAAGAAATCAATTCGAAACGTTCTAAAAAAGAACGAAATAGAATCCTTTCATTAATTATTGGAACTTCTCCGAAAGCTTTCTATTTAGAGAAGAACGATTTCAGATGAAGAAGAAAGCGTTTCGTGATATTATGGAACGAGAAAGAATCATTTTCTTCAGTTGTAGGACATATTCTAGCTAGATTAGAACGCATTCTCCAAACTATGGAACGCATTAATAGTAAACAAGATAGCTTTCCATGTTTTTATGAATGCATTCTCTCGCGTTTTTTCCAAAAAACATTTTTCACTGGGATATATTTTTCTAGTGGAGACGGTTTGCAAAACTTCAACCGAATCGCCATATCAACAATGTGTTTTCAAATAAATTCTTTGAAAAAACTTGGACAATTGGAAAATCCGTTTTTCCATACTGATGCATTGTCAGATAAAGTTGCTTTCCATAATGCAAATCGAAGATCTATAAATTGGTCAAAGGACGTCCATTGTTTCCTTTTGTGTTTCTGTATTTCATTTGTTGTAATATATTCTGCCTCAGCAGCTGCTACATAGTAATCAGTAAGGCATTTAGCTGTAGATGATATTTGTAATGCGGAGTCTGAGGATTTTGCGAAATGATATGCATCAGTCTATTTTTTAAGAGAAATTGTTGATTCTGCCGAAAATAAAAAAAGATCTATTTGATTCTGATTGCGAGACTTACACCATTTATTAATAATATCATTTTCAATTGTAAAAAATCTTGAGAATGAATGTCGTTCTCTAAATATGTGTTCATCTTTGATGACTTTATTTGTTGCTTCCAATGAATTGTTTGTACTTGTTGTAAAGGGATTGTATCCTTCATAGCATGAGTCAAGGATAATTAACCATTCGTTTTCGAAATATTCCAATACATGACGTATTTCAGTGATATTATCACTGGAATTCTGCTTCCGCTAAAGCACACCGGTAGATAGATAGATAGATAGATAGATACGTAGATAGGTACGTAGATAGATAGGCGTATAACTAACAAACGCATCAGTGGTATAATCCGAGAACGAAAGACACACATGCGTCACTATATTGAGGGTGAGAGCGATAGCACACATCATCTGAGTGAGGGTGAAGGCGGAACTGCAGACACACGCGCCACGTGACTGAGTGTAAGAATGGAAACACAGAGACACATGCATCATCCATTCATGTATCTATCTACCTGCCTATCTACCTATCTATGTATCTGTCTACCTATTTATCTATCTATCTACGTATCTATCTACCTACCTACCTACCTACCTATCTATCTATTGGTGTAGTTCAGTGGAAGCAAAATTCCAGCGATAGTGTTACTGAAAAACGTCATGGACTCGAATACTCTGAAAAATTCTTTTCTGTTTCCCAATTTCTTCATAAATAAGGATGATGCATTACCTAAAGACAGTTTCTGATTCACGGCAGTGGCGGATATAGATTTTTTTTATGATGAAGGCGATTTTAATCAGAAAATGGGTTTTTGCGCGTCATTCAAGGTAGTACCGGCTCATATTTTAGGCCTTTTCTGTTTGGAAAAATCAAAAATATCTTTGGGAATAGTGTTGATCGTCCCTAGCGTTCCCATAAATCTGCAACTGATTCGCAGTGCTACGTTAACACTGACAGAAAGAAAGAAAATATAGACGCCATACCACTAGCAACAAAATCTTTATTGTATCTTATATAAACTTACTTCGCCTTAATTAGAAATTACTTATTAATAATAATTTTTACTTATCTAATGTATTTTATAACCATAATTTTAATTTATTAGCTGAGTGAAAAAATACTTTATTTGTATATTAATTATCTAACTTAGTAAATATTTTTATTACGGAGAAAATTCAAATTAACTCAACATTCAATAATTTTACTTAGCGTTCAAATTATTTACTGAGAAGATACAAATTTTTCCTAGCGAAAGCTAACTTAACATTTACATGAATTTACTTAGCAGATAAACGGTACCCTTAAAAAAAAACAAAATATAACAGATGCAGCGTGAAACGTTTTATAATTTACATAAGACTATGCTTTTCTTACAGTTGCTTTTTTTGCTTTCAAATTAGACAAAATTTAGAGCAATCAAATTTCAACTGTACGAGAACTGATCACAGAGAATTTTGCTTGTTTTTTAAACAATTACAATAAGCTTTACTGTGTAAAGTGTAGAGGTTTTCTCATTGCATCTAGTGGTATATTTTCTTTGTTTTTAATAAAAAATATCAGGTGATGAAAAGATCGAATAAGAAAAAACGAATCATTTTGTACAAAAAGAATAATATCGCTTTCGTTCGGTCGAAATTTAATCGCTTAGGCTATTTTGAAAACAAAAAGTACAACTATTAAAAAGCTAATTTGCTGTAAATTGTAGAGCTTCCCATGAAAAAAAATTCTATAAAAATGCGTTCCAACGCAAACTTTCAGGAAGAAAACGCTATTTTTGCGTTTCAACGCATCCTTTTTTAAGTTCAACGCGTTTAAACGCATCTTTTATATTTTAAAGGGAAACTTGACTTTCTTACAATTTTCGAGTCGTCGATGTCCCAAAAATCTGGAAATTCGAGATATGGATTTTTAAAGGGCTGAGAGTTTTTCTAACATTGACGAGTATCTGAAAAAATCCATTTCCCTCATTCGAAGGACGATGCATGTATCTATCAATTGAAAAAAATCGCAGCTCTCTGGAGCGAAGTATACTGAAGAGAACTTTGTTCGACGTTCGATCATTACATCAAAAATTGGTTCTGAGAAAAACCTAAAAATATTTTTTTTCACAATATCTATCTATGGTGGGAGTTCAACACAAAATATGGTCATATCATATTATCACTACTAGAATTAATCAAAGTGCATAGAATTACGCTGCTGGCGACACTTATAGTCGATAGTTTTTCTTTGGTTTCTGTCTAAATTCGCATAAGAATATTATCAGAGAGCACCTCAGAAAAGTAGTAGTATATCTGTCGGAATCTTTCAAAGTTGAGACCTTATTGACAGCAGACACCTTGGCCGATATGTCTGTAAGCTTATCTCAAAAATCTTTGTTTTTGAGAAAAATCGACTTTTTCTGAGAGTCTCCTGAACTTTAAGAATGAGGACATCTCATGGTAAGCATCCAAGCGGATTCTACTTTCAAAATATCATTGTTAAATAGAAAAAATAATGCGAAGTAAATTCTTCCGATTGTTGATATTCGCAACTACCAACAAATTGTTTCCGAGACGATCACATGACGCACTTATGCTATTTATCTAACTTTCTTCCATAAATAATCAAATAGCATATCAAACCCTGCTATACATCCTCCGGATTACCTGTTAAACACTAATAATTATTACAAACAAAAAGTCCGAATTGATATGGAAGAAAGAAAATGGTTTGATTTTTCTTGTATTTCAATTCACATAAAGAAAACATTAACAGAAATATATAGTAGACACAACAGAAAAAAAGAGACAAGATTATTATCCTTAAGAGCCATTTGTAGTAGTATTATTTGTTGATAATGGTAGTGGAATTTCTCATCGATCACCAGATATAGCATCCATACCAATATCATCATTATATACTTGTTCACCCTAAAACAATCACTAATAATTGATTTTGGATTGTTTATCAAATAAAATTAATTTACAATTTGCCAAACTTGAGCCATATTATCTTCCGATACAGAACAGATGACAAATAGTTCATTCGGATTCCATGAAAAATCGGAAATTTTAGCGACATGACCACCGTGGATAAACTATAATAAATAAATGATTTAAATAAGAAAGAATTTATTGATTTACTTATAGTTCAGGTGGACCATCTTCTACTTCAGATGGTGTTTGTGGTTGATTAATTCGACTAAATAATAGGTGTTTATTACATTCGATGAAATGATTCGTTAAGATTTACCTTAAGTCCCATATATGAAGTCGTCGATCAGAACCACTTGATGCAAAAATAGTTTCATTTTGAGGTGACCATTGTACCTAAAAAATCAATTATAAAATCATTTTTTAAAACATTTTTTTTTCTTCATTTATACTTGAAAATTTTCATCTTTATGAGATTCAAATGTAGCTAATTTAACTCTTAAATTTCTTAAATCCCATAAAGCAAGTGTTCGATCAGCTGAACCAGTTATAAGAATATATTTTGAGAATAGAGTAAAAGAAAGCTAGTAGACAAAAATCAATCTATTATAAATAAATTAAATAATTATTACTTGCACAATTAACTTCAGCTGAATGTGCATCAACTATACGACTGGTTTTGCATAATTATTTGGTCTTGTATCCCAAATTGAAATAAAATTCAAAATTTAAAATAATAGACAAATGATCAAATACTTATATCATTAATTTTTTATCATCACCTGCAGAACCAAATATAGTTGGATGTGTACAATGCCATGCAACATCCTATGAAAAATAGTTTATCTCTTACAATCAGCTCGAAATCATTC